CATCCTTTTGGGGGGGTCCTGTGTCTATTTGGGGTCCCACATCCCCTCCTGTCACTCACGTCCCTTTGGGGCAGGTCCCACAACCCTGTGGGGGGATCCTGTGTCCCCTCCTGTCCCTATGGGTGTCCCACATCCCTTTGAGGGGATCCTATGTCTCTTTTGGGGTCCCATGTCCCCTCCTGTCCCTTTGGGGTATCCTACATCCTTTTGGGGGGCTCCTGTGTCTATTTGGGGTCCCATGTCCCCTTCTGTCACTCAGGTCCCTTTGGGGGGGGTCCCCCATCCTTTTGGGTAGGGGTCCCATGTCCTTTTGGGGTCCTGTGTCCCCTCCTGTCCCTTTGGGGTGTCCCCCATCCCTTTGGGTAGGGATCCCATGCCCTTTTGGGGTCCCATGTCGTTTCCTGTCCTTTTGGGGTATCCCGCATCCTTTGGGGGGGTCCCATGTCCCTTTGGAGGGATCCCATGTTCCCTCCTGTCCCTTTGGGTGTCCCCCATCCTTTTGGGGGGGTTCTGTGTCTATTTGGGGTCCCATATCCCCTCCTGTCACTCAGGTCGTTTTGGGGCAGGTCCCACATCCCTATGGGGGTCCCATGTCCCCCCCTGTCCCTTTGGGGTGTCCCACATCCCTTTAGGGGGGGTCCTGTGTCCTTTTTGGGGTGCCGTGTCCCCTCCTGTCCCTTAGGTCTGTGCTGGGGGGGTCCCATGTCCCTTTGAGGGCCCCATGTTCCCTCCTGACCCTTTGGTCCCTTTGGGCTGCCACACATCCCTTTGGGGGGGGTCCCGTCTCCCTTTGGGGGTCCCATGTCCCCTCCTTTCCCTTTGGGGTGTCCCTCATGCCCTCTGGGGAGGGGTCCCACATCCCCTCCCATCACTCAAATCCCTTCAGGGGGTCTCTACACCCCCCCCCCCCCCAAAGAACCCCCCCCAATAAATTCCCATGCCCTCCTATCGCTTCTCCTCCCCCCTTTGGGGTCAACCCCACATCTCCGGGAACTTCTGGGCGCTCTCAGGGGGTCTCTATGGGGGGGAAGGGGCGTTGGGGACGTGGAGGGGAGGGGACAGGCACTGATGTCACCGCCGTCCCCTCGGTGCCACTCGTCCCCAGAACACAGCCAGCCTGGAGCAGTTTGAGCGCATCCGAACTTTGGGGACGGGGTCTTTTGGGAGGGTGATGCTGGTGAGGCACCGCGACACGGGGCAGCACTACGCCATGAAGATCCTCGATAAGCAGAAGGTGAGGGGGGGGCGCGGGGGGGGAGGGGACCTGGGTGTCCCCGAGGGGGGGGGACGTTGGTGGCGTTGGGGTTGAAGGGACGTTGGGGACATTGAGTTGGGAGGGACGTTGGTGTCGCCAAGGTGGGGGGACGTTGGGGGCGTTGGGTTGGAAGGGACGTTGGTGGCATTGGGGTTGGAGGGACGTTGGTGACACTGAGTTGGAAGGGATGTTGGTGGCATTGGGGTTGAAGGGACCTTGGTGACACTGAGTTGGAAGGGACGTTGGTGGCATTGGGGTTGGAGGGACCTTGGTGGCATTGGGTTGGAAGTGACGTTGGTGGCATTGGGGTTGGAAGGGGCGTTGGTGTCCCCAGGGTGGGGAACATTGGGGGCGTTGGGTTGGAAGTGACGTTGGTGGCATTGGGGTTGAAGGGACATTGGGGACATTGAGTTGGAAGGGACGTTGGTGTCACCAAGGTGGGGAACATTGGGGGTGTTGGGTTGGAAATGACATTGGTGGCATTGGGGTTGAAGGGACGTTGGTGGCATTGAGTTGGTGAGTTGGAAGTGACGTTGGTGTCCCCAACATTGGGGATGTTGGTGGCATTGGGTTGGAAGTGACATTGGTGGCATTGGGGTTGAAGGGACGTTGGTGTCCCCAAGGTGGGGAACATTGGTGGCATTGGGTTGGAAGTGATGTTGGTGGCATTGGGGCTGAAGTGACACTGGTGACATTGAGTTGGTGAGTTGAAAGTGACATTGCTGTCCCGAACATTGGGGACATTGGTGACATTGAGTTGGAAGAGACGTTGGTGTCCCCAGGGTGGGGGGATGTTGGTGGCATTGGGGTTGAAGTGACGTTGGTGGTGTTTTGAGTTGAAGTGACATTGGGAACGTTGAGTTGGGAGGGACGTTGGTGTCCCCAAGGTGGGGGGACGTTGGTGGCATTGGGTTGGAAGTGACGTTGGTGGCATTGGGGCTGAAGTGGCACTGGGGGCATTGAGTTGGTGAGTTGGAAGGGACGTTGGTGTCCCCAACATTGGGGACAATGGTGGCATTGGGGTTGGAGGGACGTTGGTGACATTGAGTTGGAAGGGACCTTGGTGTCCCCAAGGTGGGGGCATGTTGGTGGCATTGGGGTTGAAGGGACATTGGTGACATTGAAGCTGCAGGACATCAGTGTGGGTGTGCCATTATCGCCTTATGGCGGCCATCGTGCCCTTATGGTGGCCATTGTGCCCTTATGGCGGCCATTGTGCCCTTATGGTGACCATTGTGCCCTTATGGCGGCCATTGTGCCATTATGGCGGCCATTATGGCCTTATGGTGGCCATTGTGCCCTTATGGTGGCCATTGTGTCCTTATGGCGGCCATTGTGTCCTTATGGCGGCCATTATGCCCTTATGGCGGCCATTGTGCCCTTATGGCGGCCATTGTGTCCTTATGGTGGCCATTGTGTCCTTATGGCAGCCATTGTGTCCTTATGGTGGCCATTATGCCCTTATGGGGGCCATTA